ATGCGAGTCAGTATAGTGCCCGATTCTTGGTTAGTCTAACGACTAAACTGACAGGCAAAATATTTTGGAACCTATATGTATAACGTAATTGTATAAAAAATATATAAATAATAAACTACACCCTTTGCCATAAAGCTAGAGAGGCAGGAAAAATAGAGTGTAAAGTGAACTAAATTAGTAAAGACAAAGACTGAAGTGTAATCAGTGAAATTAAAATTAGTAAAAGAAAAAGAATGAAATGTAAAGTGGAAATAAAAATTTAGTAAAAGAAAGACATGAAGGTGTAAAGTGAAATAAACTTAGTCAAAAAGAAGAAGAATGGCAGGTGTAAGGTGAATAAAATAGTTAGAAGTTAAGGTGAAGAAGATAAAATTAAACTTAAGGTAAACAAATTAGAGGAAAAGATTAGAAGTAAAAGTTTTGAAAGGAGGGTGAATTATTTTAGGTGGGGATTATGGGAATAAAAAAATTGAGATAGGGCTAAAAATTAAAACTTAGGGATCAAAGACAGGGGGTAGTTGTAAAACATCTAGTTGTCAATTCTTAATTCAAATTTTGGTAATATGATCTTGAAACGGGAGAAAGATTAGAAAGAGAAAAGGTAGAGGTTGAGGACGAGAGTATAAAAAGAAAAGGGTAGAGTGGTGAGATGAAAGGGAGTGAGATCTTTGTTATGGGACTTTTTGAGGAAGTGGAATTTTTCATTAATTGATTGGAACTAAGTTTATGTCAGGGAAAAAAAGGAAGAATTGTTGAGGGGGGAAGTCAATAAGTGAAGAAAGATATTGTGGAATAAGTGTGAGACTATTTTCGAAGTAAGGTGAATGTGTATGGGGTATAGTAATAGGTTGGTGGAAGTGGAAGTGTAGAGATAAGAAGAGGATTAAAGAGGGTATTTAAGATAAAAGGGATGAAGGAATAAAAATAGATGTTTTTTTTATTTATTATAGAGGAAAAAATTTGGGTAAAGAAAGTATAAAAAGTAAAAAGTTAGTTTGGAGTAGGGAAGATTGGAAATAAAAGAAAAAATATTTTAAGTTAAAGAGAAGGGAATGGGTTTGTGAAGATATATTTTAGGAAATGTAATTAAAATAGAACGGTTAAGGGTAAGAAGAATTGTAAAATTTATTAGTAAAAATCAAAAAGAGAAGAGAATATGAGGTGGAAGTAAAAATATTGAAATTAAAAAGTAAAGATAAGAAAAAAAAATTAAATGAAGGAGATTTAGAGAAAAAATGAAGAGAAGACAAATAAAAGTAGGAGAGAATGTAGATATTAGTAGAAAATTTGAAAAGTTTGTAGATAAAATAATTGATATTGGTGCAGATTGTGGGAAAAGAAATAAGAAAGTAAATGGATTTTGAAGATTGATTATTTAGTTGAAAAAAGGATAAAAAGAAAAAAAGATAATTGATAAGTTAAGATTGGTGAAGGCAAAATTGTAATAAAAGTTTTAGAAATTGGAAAATTAGTAATAGATATTAAAGGTTGGATAACGGGAGTATATGTATTTTATGATGGTGGTTTATTTATAATTAGAATTTTAAATACTTGGTGTGGTGTATGAAGATGTTTTGGATGATAAAAGTTTAGAAAGAATTGAAAAGAAGTGAAATTAGTTAAAGTTTATTAAAATTAAAGTTTTACTATGAAGAAGACAAAGTTATTTAGTATTAAAATAAGGGTTTTTGGGTAAAAGAAATGGAGGAAGAATTGTAAGTTACTTTTCACAACAATACAGTATCCCTCCGCGTCTGAGAAAAAAAGTATACCTTAGCTGTGATATAATGAGCATATACCACGGCCTGTCGTGAGCTATTGCTTATATATATCACAACAATCAATATATACAAAATAACAGTCACTTCAATATCAGGATCCACATTAAGACCTTCCAGTGAGCAGCTGAGATGTTTTCACTTTGGATAAAAGCAACTGCTAAATTACATGTTTAAAATGAAACGACTAGGCTTTAGATAAATAGTTAAAGTGTGTTAATGCAGCTTATAAAACATTGAATATGCTCCACAAAGCCAACAAACTCCATTTACAGAAACAGTCCTTTTACTTCCCTGATCGTCATCAAACACACTTCAAAACTCATTAAAACTCGTCTTTCTGCTGTTCCATCAATTACCAACTCTGCATTGAGTTATAACTTATTGCTGTTGTTAGATTAGATCGCATTTGATCCAGCTTGTTGCTAGCTTATAACCATGCACTGAGTGTTCTGTATATTAGAGATGGAGTAAGAACTTAGAGAAACACATGTTGTGCACACTTTAAATAACAACACATGTTTTTGTTTGATTGAATGTCAACCACAGGCTGGTGAATGAAGAGAGGACGCTGGAGGTAGAAATTGAACAGGGAGTGAGAGATGAAATGGAGTACCCCTTCATTGGAGAAGGTACATCTTAATAAACCATGAATAAGAATCACCTGTTTTTCTAATATATTATAAGATATATTGTAAACATGTAATATCTGCCCACAGGGGAACCTCACATCGACGGGGAACCTGGAGATCTACGTTTCCGCATCAAAGTGCTGAAGTATGAATCATCTGTATTTACTGTGTGTCAGCTTTAAAATACTTGAATCATTGAATATTTAATAAGTGACTGACATGATGTTTTCCTTTTTAGACACCCCGTGTTTGAGCGCAGAGGAGACGACCTGTACACCAACGTCACCATCTCATTGGTGGAGGCTCTGATCGGCTTCGAGATGGACATCTCACATCTGGACGGACACAAGGTGCTGTATTTCACTAATATATATAGAAATGTATTTATTACGATAAACCCATCTCGTTTTCAAGGGGGTCCCTCCCGACAGAAGCAACGTCTCACAGACAGACATACATGAAAGAAATTACAGAAAGCATAGCATAGCATGACAAACAAGGACAAGCCACGTACAGTCTGTTAACAGTGATGCAAATTAGTCGCTTTTCGGTGCTTCCCGCTTTTTTAACGCTGATTTGGAAACTACGCCTCGTAAAACTCTGAAATGTTTTGTAGAGCCGCCATTTTATTATCCTCGCATTAGCATTAGCATTATTAGCATTAGCATTATTAGCATTAGCATTCGCCCAGCGCACAAACGCAGAGAGACTAACTTGGTTATGGCTAGAAAGGATCCGTCTAGTGTAAATATGACGTCACGTTCTCGTTGTAACTCTCGTTGTAATCGGAGCGGCTCGGAAACACATCTACAGCAGTAACATGATGCAACATACACATTAATGCAGCAGCAATATGTTTCATTGCGGAGGACCCCTGTTTTGTGTCTCCTCCACTTCTTAAACCAAAGTTACACACTTGATAATATCTACCTGTAATTAATCATAAAAACCCTTGATTTATAACTTAACATCTCTGTCTCCTATTGATCTGAGTATATTATAAAGAATAGCCAGTTCATTGAAGCATTATAGCACAGTCCTTTATCAGATGGTATATTACGCTGTTTTTTTTCTGCTTCGAATAGTTCTCTCTTTTTTCACCATACCTGTGTTTGCATCACTGAAAATAGTGCAAGGAATACAAATAAAATAGAAAGAAATAGTGCCAGGTACCATATTAATAAAAGCCCAATGGGGGGAAACAGGGTTGGATAAATCTCTTGTGTCAGTAATATAATGTGCATTTCAAATGATCAAATTTAGTTTCTCTAATTAAAAAATTCTACAACAAAATTGTGAAATTTTAAACGTTTGGTGTCCAGGTTTACTTATGTAAAGTCCTATTGTGTGGTTTTAGAAAGTGTGTGTGTGTGTGTGTGTGTGTGTGTGTGTGTGTGTGTGTGTGTGTGTGTGTGTGTGTGTGTGTGTGTGTGTTAATGTGTCTAGACCCCCAAAACTAGTTTTCCTTCCCTATCAGAATCAGAATACCTTTATTCGTCCCACGAGGGGAAATGTATATTGTTACAGCAGAAAAGAGCTAAAGACAGCTTGATGTTACCTAAGTAGCAAGCATAAAACAAATATTAAAGATACAAAAAAAGATTGTAATTAAAAACAGTTCTGAGGATTTAGCAGCCAGGTATATATTGCNAGAGTTTAAAGATTCTAGCTAGATTACGTGATCTCAGTGTTTTTGGTGGCGGCGACTAGGCGAGTGTTTTTTACTTTGAAAATTCTGATAAACTTGCGGAGATAAGGTTTGAGAGCTAAATGTCTTTCATCCTATGTGAAACTCTAACCGTAGGACAGCCCAGAAGAAGAATACTTAATAATAATAGTGGTATCAATTTGTAGCATGCTCTTCGCTGGGGTCCTCCAGGCCCCAAATCATGAAGACGACAAGCGCAGGATATTGCATGCTCTTGCCTCAGTGAACTAAGCCGCTAGGGTGTTATCGCGGTTTTAATGAACCCCCTAGGATGTGTACGGCTGTTCACTCTCCTTTCCTCAAATGACCATGTTCACACACTTTATTTCTGTTCCTGATTCCTTCTTACACAGTCATCAGTTACAATAATATCATGTAGCCTTCATGTGAAATTACAAATTAACAACTGAAAATCAGTTTACTCTATCTAGTTCAAACACTGAAACCCTGTCCGCGCAGGCGGCCACGTCCTCTGTAGGTTTTGGGAAAGTTGCTTTTGTTATTTAGTTCACCGTCGTAACTTTCTCACAGTCTCAGATTTGTGTTCAGAGCTGGTCGAGCTTCTGTAAAATGTCAGCTCAGCTCCACGCGAAGCCCTCTGAGTGAGATCATCACCACGCTAATCCATCTTTCATCCGCTGCCCATGGAGGCCGACCAGAGGGGAAGGTTGTTTTGCGATACTTTACACCAGCTTTGAGTTTCTCTCACCACCCGCGAGCTGGCAGAAAGATGACGTCTCTTCTTCTCTCATCAACACTATCCAGGCGGCGATGTATCCTAGCAGGCTTCATTGCTTGTCGCCGGCTGAATCTACTATCCATGATAGGAGTTAAAGATCACAATTTCCTCTTGTTTGATCTCAAAAGATCTTAGGAACAAAATTACTTGCAAAATGGCAAATATTATTTGTGAATACACATCTATTTGTTCGCCACCAAAAAACGTTGAGCCACAGTCGTTAATTAACACAAGAGAAGATCGTTGAGCAATAAAACGCGCGGAATACTATATGCTTAAAAAAAGTTGTGTCTTATGCTAATTTGGCTAATTGTTGCCTAAATTAGAATTTATTAGTAATAATAAACTATAAAATAATAGATGACGATTTGCGGTAAATAAGTTATTCTCTCTCCGTTTGCGTGCTGGAGGGGCTGAGAGCCTAATAATGCTGAATGCCCAGCAGAATACAATGGCGCCATTCACAAAACTTTTCTGAGTTTTACGGGGCGGTGCGTTTCCAATTTCGCGCCAGCCAATCGAAGATTTGGGTACTTTTTTCTCCCCAGGGATAGCTACCACTCTCTGCAGGCACTTAACAATGGGGCGGGGCTAAAAGCTTCGTCTGAAAACTAAGTACTCTTTTTGGTGCTGAACGCAAAAATTCCAGGCACGTTAGCGGAACTAAACGGGGAAAAGTACTCTTGCTGTGACGCGCATAATGGGAAATAAGGCCTTTTTGGCCGCCAATGACGTCAGCATGACTGATGAAGTATTCGTACCAGCTTTTGGGCACCTTACGAAAACTTGCTTCAACACCCGACTTCCTGGCACAGGATTGATTGCTACATACCAATAGCCATATCTGTGTGTTTTAATGCATGTACGTGTACATGCAATGAACACAGATGTTGGAGTGCCTTTAGTTGAGGAAGCTCAAGCCATATATCTGAAACTATTACATTAGCTTTAATTACCTCTAGATCGTCTCGAATGTAGGTTTGGCCAGTTTTAGACTTGCTAATGATCCATCCACCTTTTTGTGACATTTTTTAAAACATTGAATCCGCTGTGGTTTGGAAAAGATACCTGTATATGCAATTCTTGTCCGTTTCTGCCATGCACCTATATATGTTCTTAATTCTTACACCTGTGTATTGCAGTGTTTCCCACTTCATTTGGCTTTGACTCTATTTGTGGGGACCACCGCACCCGCAATTCTTTTCTTAAATAACTAACACTTTTCATTTGAAGTTTTAGTGTTTTGACCCTAAAGAACACGGATCAATCAGCTCCTCTCTCTGCTCCAGAGGATTTAGAAAGAAAAAAAATATCCCAACAACACCCCCCCCCCCAAAGCAGTAAACCTAGGGGAAACACTGCTTTCCAATGGCATTCACTTCCGAGTCCCCATTGACTGACTACATGCAAAATTCAATTTCACACTTCGTATATTGCAGTCCTTACAATATCCTAAGGCAGAGAATAGAGTAGCTTTGCTCTGGTTTCTAGCATGTGGCTGTTGGGCTTCAGTAATCTGTCTCTCAGCTCTGTTTTTATGCTGCTTTTGGCGATGCCAGTGTTTCCTTGTTCCTTCCTGTACTGTACCACCCACACATGTGCGTCTGTGACTCCCCGGCTGACACTCATTTCCTGCGCCGTCATCCCAGCTTGTTATCACTGAGCGTGTTCATCTTATTGAGTTACATATTTCCATCAAAAAACATTATTTTTCTCAGGTTCTTGGAACAGGGAGGTAACCGGAAAAGAAGAGCACTCACTTTTACTAAAACCTCTGCCCACAAGAAGCCATCGTAGTGTGAAATGTAAAACCCCCTTGGTTTAGTTACTGTTGGATGGGTCAGTGTCTGTTTGTGCACAAGCCCACAGTGTTGAGTGCACATGAGGATCAGTAGACAGTAGTGGACATTAACACTGAACTGGCTTTGCAGCATGACGAGGAATGCGGCTCCATATTCAAGCACTGCATGCAAACAAAGGGCTAGCATTGTGTACAAAAAGTGCTGCCTCACAAAAGGGCCCTCACAAAGCCTGTAATGAACCCCCAACACACCCATCAGTCTGCGCTGCTTCCTATTAGTCGGACCAAACCACCAACCCCTGGCAGACAGAGGAGGAAGTTGTTAGCCCCTGGAAATGGATACATTCATATCATCGTATAAGTTTACATAAAGCAAGCATGGAGCATTATTATCACTCATTTGGAGATGTATTTCTGGCCACATACGGAAAATATTGGGATCTTTGTTAGCAGTAGGAGGCTCCAGTATGTTCTCCCTTTGTTTGCTGTTTGGTGCCAGCCAAGCAGCATTAGTAGTGGATTTAGCATCGATTTCTTTGTTGAAAACCTGCTGCTGTTAAGCTAAGAAAGAAACCAAACCAAGACTATAAAGATGAGAGCAGTAAAACCAAAACAAAAAGATGAAGGAGGCTAAATAGTCCTGTGAAGCAGAGTGAAGAGATATTTACCTGTGAGCTCATCAATAAAAGTAGTTATTTCGGCTGTTGTTGATCAGAGCAGCTTTAAAACAATGCATGTCCTCACATTTGCACATTTAAGTTTTTTGCCAGCATCGGCTTATCTGGAGCTTTTCAAGAGGATAACAACATTGAAAATCCAGCCTAATAACCGATGAAGAATTGCTTCACAGTCCTTATTAAACATTGATCGTTGACCCCCTTAATAGGTTTATTTGAAAAAAAGACCAGCATCACCTGGGTCTATGTGGCTTCTAATGAAATGATACCTTCCCCAAAGGGAGACGTGGCTATAATTGACGATTTAAGAGTAGGGAAGAAACGGACAACTTTTATTTTTGAGTCTATTTTTTAGATGTTAAATCTTTCGTTTTGCTTTAAAGCTTATGGGAGGTTTCCCTTAGCTTAATGTCTGACACTAACAATCCATTT